CGACGGCTCCCCCGTGGCGCCGGGGCAAGCGCCATGCGTCGGCATCGCGCACGCCGAGTGGAGCCGCCTGGCGCTCTTCGACTTCCTCCTGCAGGTAGGGCCCCTGTGGCAAGGGCTCTGCCTTGCCACCCGCCCACGCTCCCCCGGAGAGGCCGGGGCTGACGGCAACTCGCTCCATGAGTGAGTTGCACCAAGGTGTCTTGAGAGGACGTCCAACAAGGTGTCCCTCATAAGTGCTTTCACTCTAGGCTTCCTGCCTTTGGGTCCTTCTCTCTTTACCTGATCCCCTCCCTTTCCCTAGCTCATGGGAGCTTAATGCTGATGAGCTCCCTACCCCACGTCAACCACAGCCCAGAGGCCTCCCAGCAGGTCCCAGTGGGGGCCCAGGCAGCGGGTGGCCCCAAGCACGGACACAGCAGCATTGCCTGAGCTGTGTTTGCCTGGGGAGCCCTGCTCCATGGCAGGACTCAGGGAGAATCACCCACTTCTGCAGTCAGAGCCATGCTCGCATTTTAGCTGGCTCCCCGAGGCGTTTGTGGAGGCCGACGTGCTGCTGATGGGGGCCAGAACAGGCTTGCCCCTCGCAGGGGTATTGGTGCTACCTGCAGTGAGAGCAACCCTGCCTTCCCCCGGCGCCAGAGCAGGATTTGGAGGTTGCTGGTTTTGGTGGGCGGTTGCACCCTCTCTCTGGGGCTCCAAGCTCCTGCTGCAGTGAGGCCCCGCAGGGCAGCAAAAAGCAGATTTCAGTGCCAGATCCTTCGTCTAAGCAGCGGTGATCCATCAAAGCCAAAGGCACCGCTGTGATTTATGCCAGCCTAATGTCCATCCCGCTACCTGCCAAGATCATTAGTGAAAGCCCTCCGGATAATTCAATTTCCTGGGAAAGCTGAGCGTGCCCGCAGGCTGGGGCTCCTGCCGATCTTGTTGGCTTTTCAGCCTGACAGGTTCCTTAATTCTGTTTTTTGACTAGTCAATCCACAGTTGGTGGCCAGAAAACAAGCAACCTCTGGTCTGCCAGAGGCACTGGGAGCCTGCAATGCATCCTCAGGAATCGCTGGCAGCGGATGCTGGGGAGCGGTTTGGTTTCTTCTCCTCACCACCGTGACCTTCACCCAGTGGCACCACCACGAAAGCCCTCGGCACACCTGGGCAGGGGGTCCAGGAAATCTGCACGCACCACCTTGCGCGGCACCCTGGCCCGGGTGCTATCCGGAGCCTCTCCAGGTGTGTTGCCCCAGGGAAGCTTGTGTTTGTACAATGCATTTCTCCATGGCACGCTGGCCTCTCTCCAGGGATCCAGCAGAACAGACAGAACTGGAAAGTCCTTCTCCGAAGTGCTGCTTGGGTTCACTGTGGAAAGCAGGCAGGGCAAGGGTGCCTCGCCATGCACCTCGGGTAGATATTTACACCAGTGCGCCCCACTGCTGCTTTTCCAGCAGTGTTTTAGGCAGCTGATTCAACAGCCAGTCCTCCACGCCAGGCGAAGGTGAGGAGCACCAGGGAGTCTGGAGCGGGACCCGCCAGGTCTCAGCGCCATGGGCCGGCAGGCAGGGGCTTGTGCCTCCCTTGTCCGCTCTCTGCTAGACAAAAACACTGCAGAGAAGGGTGGCTTGGAGCAATGCCATTTTTCGGCTCTGCTATCCCAGCCTGCGGGATGTCACTGTTTCACAAGTTCTCCAGGCTTCAAGCACAGGCAAAATCTTTATAATAATAATAATAATAATAATAACAACAATAATAACAATAAAAGCGTTACCATTTGAACGCTTTCCTCTATCTCTCAGCACAGCACAAGAAGGCACAAGTCCATTTTTTTTTTTCTGAAGTAGGTTGTCTCGAAACGAAAATATCTTCCATTTCCCGCTCCTAGATGCTAATTTTCTGGAGGCTTCGCGTTTAATAATTGCTGCCTTGGTTGTGGAGATGGAGGTTTTGTTCTCCCTTAGTGCTACATGGAGCATGAGACTGTTGTGCTGACGCAGCTTGGCCAAGCAGCAGCTCAGCACCAACCAGCAAATCAGATTAACCACCCCTTTCTCTCCTCCCCCAGGCAAAATCCCATCGAGTGCGACGGAAAGACTGAGTCCCCAGGGAAAAAAAATGGGTTTTATGAGGCTTTTTTTTTCTCCAGAGTGTTGAAACAGTGAAATGATAAATGAAAGAGCAGTCCGCGGGATTTCGCAGTAACTCCAGTGGGATTCTTCCCATGTGGAAAAGTCACATAAAGGTAAAAAGGCACAAAGTCAGCAGGTTATTTTAGAAATGAAATGCCATCTTTCCGAAATAGCTTTAGCATCCCACAGTACTTAGTGGAGAATGAGCAGCTGTGAATTTTGAACTCTCTTGCATAGCTCAGAGTGAGGCATTGAAATCTTTATTGTTTTCTACTAAAGGCCCCTCAATTTTGGCTTGTTTTTTACTAATTTCTCACAGCCTTTTCCATAGGAAATACCCCCATTATTGGTAGGTTCCTGAGCACACAGGGGTGCAGATGCCTTCCCTTCCCTGTGCCTGCCAATGGCGCAGACTGTGACCCTCCATCCCCTTCACACAAATTTGGCTCCTCTTGTCTTAAACTCAGCCCTTCAGCACAGGCAGAAAAAAATGCTGCCAAGAATAATTTCTCAGAAAGAGCACATGGCTCACTATGGGTATGGCTATTCGCTCAGCAGGACCCGAAAATGTGGGTTAGCTCCTGTCGGGCAGCGGTGGTGGCATTTGCCTGCTTGGTACTGATTTTAACTTTGGGTCGGTCAGTGGTTTTGAACAGCGCTGCTGCCTTTGATTTGGCTTGACAACATGCTCTTGCTTGTTCTTTTCCTTGCTCTGCTGGCCGGGAGCCCAGCCCGAATCTGTGGTAAATGTGCTGGAATCCCATTAAAACATAAGAGGTTAAAATAATTTGGTCCCAGTCCTGCTCCTACTGTTGCTGAGCGCAAAATTCCCATTACGTTGCAGGGCAGCTGATTTATGTCCAGCCAAGACTGAATCTGGCATGTCTGAGTTTGTCTATAGAGGCAAACCTCTCATTACAAGGCTTTACCACAGGAAAAACTCAGAAGAAGCCTGTCAAAAAGAAGCAGCTGCTGATTTTGTCTCTAAAAAGGACCAAAAATATTGGCATGTTGACTCTGAAGTCCTTCAGCAGCGTTATGTCCTCTTCTGGGACACCCTTTACATTACAGCCTCTTTCCAGACGGCTGTGCAGGGTCTTCACAGTGGAAATTCCATTTCTTCAGTAGAAATGAGAATCAGCCACAAAACTAATTGCCTGTGAAAACCATCCGGACAAAATAAAGGACTAATCCAATACTAAGAGAAAGCGCAGAACCCTGCCCTCCCACCACACAGACACCCTTGACTTGCCATCCTTCAACAGATACAGGCAAAGAATAAGCAGAAAGCTTCCAAAATGCCTTTCAAGGTGGCCCAGCAAAGCCTGTCCTAGCCAAGTGAAGAGGGAGTATGAAGATGCCTTGTCTGGTTCTCCACTCTTCCCATAACTTCCCTCCTGCATCCCATGGAAGCAAAGTTTTCCTTGTGAAAACTGCCCCAGGCCAAGTGAGTGCTTGGAGGCTCCCAGCCAGGCAGAGCTTCGTGCGGGTTCTGATAGCGCTGCCATCCTCTCCCCACTGTGAACTGCTCGTGTGACTCTCCTGCCCTTCAGATCCTGCCTTGGAGACTAAAAGCTTTTTGACCCAAAGTTTGCTGCGCGGTTTCGCAGAGCCAAGCGCGATTCAGGCCGGAGCCTGGTGTCCTCTCAGCGCTTTTCTTCCAAGCATCCTTGCCCTGAAAGTAGCCTGAACTGAGGCCCCAGGAGGATCCAAATCCCCAAACAGAGGCTGCTCAGGAAACCTGCTGCTGTGCATTGTGATGAAGCCTTTAATTCAATAGTCACATAATTCTTTGCTTTCCCATAGGATGAATATACAAGCCCTTCTCTTCCTTCCAGTGCCTTTCAGAGCTCTTTGCTGACAGACAAGGAATGTAGAAGACGATCCAAAGCCTGATTTAATGGCTATAGGATTTTCTGCCCTCCAGGCTCCTGGATGAGCCCTGTCTCCCACAGTTCAGTCCTGCTCTCCGATATTTGGCGTCTCGCCACCCAGCCTGGGCTTGTATGGCTTTCTCCCCAGCTCCCACATCTTTTCAGTGATGCAAGAGTTAGACAGACATTTTGGTGTCTTGTTTGGGAACTTCAGTAATGAAGAATGATACCCTTTCTTGTCAGCCCTGCGCAAGTACAAGCCTCATCCTTCCTGTCTTTCTCTTTATGTCTGGCAGAAAGACCAAAACAAATGTCTGGAGTTTCATTACCTTTTTGACTCCTTAACTACTTTCAGTCCTCAGTCTTCAGGATTTAATGGTCCTGGCGGATCCAACTGCATCCTGAGTATGGCAAAATACTTTAATGTGGTTTTGTATTGTGATTTCCAGTGTTTCCTTTCCAGCAGGAAGTTGGGAGAAGTAGTTGTCAGCACTGGGAGAACTGGTTCTAGTCCTGGCTATGCTCCGGGACCTTGTCTCAGGTCTTTGAGTTCCCTATCCGTAGGATATTGCCCTATTTCACTGCATAAGGAAGGGCCTAAATAGGCGGTGCTTATAATGGGCTTTGAACTCATTGGTTGGAAAATGACTTCCACATATCTTTGTTTTATGCCAGTAGGATCTATTGTGCCACTCATTAAGGCCATTTTGGCTCTGATGAGTGTGAATGAGTATAAGTGACACAAGGAGAGTCAATGAGTCAGTCACCACATCAGAGATGCTCTCAACATCTCAACAATTAGATAGTCCATCTTCTGGGGACACGTCTTGGACACGTCCAAGCTGGATTCAGCCTCCAGCTCATACCTGTGCTGGTCTGACAGGCGCTTCCCTTGGTTTCCTCAAAGAGCCCCCAGCAGGGGGAAAACACCCACATCCCAGCGCGTGGGAAGGAGCGGCATTGCGTATCCAGCTGGGCACACAAGAACCAGCCGGGCAGGGTGGTTGGTTTTTGACGGACACATGGTCAAAGTGGAGTTCCACCTTCAGAAAAGAAGAGAAAGAGCCGAAAAAAAAGCAGCCCATGCGTGTGGTTATGTTAATGTATAGTAAGGGAAGCAGGGCATCGTTTTTGCAGCACATGTGGCTATCAGTGCCAAAAGGTGGAGACATCCCATAACAACATCCCATAACAGCCGTGGCTTTCTGCACATTCCGTCCATGAATACACAGAGTTTCCATCTTTCTGCTGCGTGAGCACATATGAGGTCTCCATAAATCATCTCAGATTTTCTTTATGCTCTGTACAGTCTAGTAATTCTTCTATGATGGAAAACAACATGGTAGGTGAGAGAAATTGGTGTGCTGTGCTTTCCAGTACCAAAGCAAAGGAAATGCAGAAAAGAAATGTTGTGTTTTCTTTCATTTCAATGTTTTTTCCTGTCAAAAGACGGTAGTGCTTTAACTGGTGAGTCTACCGGAGGAGAAATATTAACCCTGAGTGCTTCATTATATGTCAGGAAATACAGGGAGTTGTTAAGGAATTCTGGCAGGGGACTAATCTCACTTCCAAAAGAGTTATGAACACAACGGGCAGGGAAATCAAACTTTGTGCTTCACGCACCCCTTCCCCCAGTGCCTGCTCAATGATGGGGACCAAGGCTGAACCCGCGCAAAGCGCAGCCCTGCTGTAATTGCCAAATCCTGCTCATTACCAGGCTGAGAAGAACACAGGCCCCTTCCATGGGCCTCTTGGCTGCGGCCATTTGTCACCTGTGGACCGATGACCCCAGGCTTGCCTGGGACGAGCCCCAGCCCTTCCCGGCGGAGCAGGAAGAGCCCAAGGAAGCGAGTAGGCCGCAGGCCTCGGCACCGCAGCCGGGCCCTTCGGCGCCCTCACCCCGAACAGCCCGAGTTGCCCCCTTCTCCCTCCCGGACTCGTGCAGGGAAGTGTCGTGTGTCTGCAGGACATACGCGCACACAAATATATGTATGGATGCATGCATAAAATACACATATAATACATGCATATATATATTACTATACATATAATAAATACAACATAATGTAATATATATGCACATATATAGATACCTATTTTTATAGGCCATCAGAGCTATTAAACTAACAAAGCTAAATGGCTATCAAGGCAGGATCATTAAAGCTGGATGAGCCTTGTTTTAAGGTGGGCTCCCCTCCTTTCCCCCAAGGGCACGGGTGGAAGTGCTGTGCAAGGGGCTGGAAATCCATAGCAATCTCAGGGCCGAACTTCTTCTACAGGTCTCCTCAGAGGGGAGGCAGCCCTTTGGCTTTGGATATCAATGTCCAATATTTTAATTACTGCCAGATGTCTCTGCCTCATGTTCCTTCCAGCGGTGAATGCCTGTTTTGCTGGTTCAGGGTTGTTGCTAGCAGGGATGTCGATAACTCTGAGTCTAAACCCATCACACCCTTTCAGTCAGTAAATTCAGAGATTTGCAAATGAAAGAGTTGCTGGCGACGGCTGCCGGCTGCCGTAAGGGAAGGAGCAGGGACTGGCAGTCGCTTGCATTTTGCTTGACAGCCTCAGCGACAGGGAGGTTTAACAGTGCCTGCAAAAAATTAAATGCAAATATAGTTAATGCAAGTTTTCATGGCCTAACTTAGGCACCATGCATGCTCTGTGTAAAGCATAAATTGCTTTTTCTGTTACTGATCCTTTTCCATTCCTCTTCTGTTCACTGAGAGCTGTTAGGTTACTGGTAAGGATGGATTAAGCCGCATACGTGAAAAGGGAGCCAGCTGAAACCATCACCTGGTGAAGCAAGACTCAGCCTGAGGAAGAAAATCTCTTTTTCTGGTTTCAAATATTAGATCCTCCTTTTGATTTTATTTATTTGTTCGTTTTCATTCCCTGCTGTGTACCTCTCCCCTTGGTGTCAGCTGGAAGCAGGCTCCATCTGCACCAGTACCGAGTGCAGAAACGCCGCCGAAACGCACAAAAGGCGACGGGAGCCCCTCGCCCGCTAAGGAGCCCGCGTGTCTCCCGCAGGTGCACGACCGCCTGGACCGCTACTGCTGCGGCTTTCAGCCGGAGCCGGGGGAGCCCTGCGTGGAGGAGATGCTCCACGCCAAGTGCCGGAACCCCGCGGAGCTCGCCTTGGTCCACATCCTGGTAGGGCGCCCCTTCCCTGTCTCCCTCGGGTGACGTCCCAGGGGTTGCGTGTGACGGAGGGGCCAGCTGGAGCCGCTGCGCCTACGGCATCGTGCTGTGAGGAGCACCAGCTCCTCACCCCAGCGGTGGGAGCTTTCTCCTACTGCGAGAGCGAGCAGGGGGCTGCCAGGGAGTGTGGTCCCTAGACAGCAACAAACCCCATAAAATGGGGAACACGAGGGGAAAGGTGTGTGGCAGCTGAGTCACAGAGGTGCAAAGCTGAGCGCTATGTGCAGTAACCGGGCACGTGGCGTGGAGGCCTGCATGGAGGGTAATGTGGCCATTGGCTTACGGGCCTAAGCGCCGGCACTGCGGGATGCTGGTGCTCCCCCACTGGGAGGCCACTGCCTGCCCTTCCAAACGGCGATGCCAAGCCCCAGGCGTGCTCAGAACACTCCTGTGTGCCCCCCAAAAAACCCCAAAAAACAACCCACCAATCTGCTGAAAAGGCACCTGTGATATGAGGACGTTTTGTCCCCTCGGCTCCAGGTGCGGAGGAGCTCGCCGTCGCGCCTCGTGTTCATCGACAACGCGGGCCGCCCGCAGCACCCGGAGGCGAAGCTCAACTTCAGGCTGCTGCAAGGCATCGATAGGTGAGCGGAGCTGCTGCGTCCCACAGACCGGGGCTGACACTGCGGCGAGGACGGAGCAAATGGAGGTCCTAGTGTGGAAAAAATTGGGACAAGGGAGGAGTGAGGCTGTGCGTGCTCGTGTGTGCTGCCAGTGGATGTGCCTGCCGTGCACCAGCCCGGCGGCCAGCGCGCTCCAAGGCCCCGCACCTGGTTTTGTTCCTGCTCATTGGCAGCTGTGCAAAAACAACAAATAATCAGACATTTTGGCATTTCTTGCACCATTTCTTGCCTGGCGCGTATTTGATGCATTATCGGCCCATTGACTTGGTGCTCGTTTGGATCCATTTCTAATTAATCTGTCCTGCGGCCGTGCTGCAAGTGGGGTTGGTGTGTGAGGCACTTTGCTTGGGCACCAGACAGCTTTGCATATTGCTCCTCACACCTGCATGTCCAAGCAAAATGCCCATTTCCAGCACGATTCCCATACCATGCAGAGAGGAAAGGAACCCAAGCCCGAACATGGGGAAAGGGCAATGCTCTCCTCCCTGCCAGACTTCACCCTTCTCTTTCTCTCTTTCCTTATTTTCTCTTCCAGCTTCCCAGAGACGGCCGTGGCCATGCTCAGGTCGGGCTGTTTGCAGAAGGCGCTCCTGAAGTCTCTGTACGTGGATCGGGAATTCTGGGAGAGCCAGGGCGGCTCCGAAGGCCTGCGACCTTGGCTGCAAACGCTGGAGAGGCGCGGGCAGATCTTACTGCGCCACATCCAGGAGCACAAGCTGACCGTGTTCAGGGAGACATCATCACCCTAAACCACCCTCGCCCTGAGGCGAACGTACACCTTGCAGCCACGGATATACCTCGCACCCCTCGGTTTTTATGATCTGAAATGGAGCATGGGCTATTGCTTCTTCAGAATTTTTTTCCTCCCCCTTTGGTAGGATGCCCTTTTCCAGGGCACCCTAGACAAGGGAGCCCAGGAGGTAGGAAAGAGGAGGCGGACACTGCTCCTGAAATACCCCACCAGTGGTTGGCCAAAACGTTAACCAGTATTCGTTAAACAACAGTCTCCACATGGAATTTGCAAAGGAGCTGCATTTCAGTGAGATTTTGGATGCCTTTTTCCCCCATCAGCTTTGAAGCCTGTAGGCTTGAATAGTTCCTGGGAAGGTGCTGGAGAACCTGAGGAGAGATTGACCAAGCGGCATTGGTCAGGGCTCAGGGAAGTCACTACAAGTTTTCAAGTTTTTCTTTTTTTTTTTTTTAATAATTTCTTCAAAATTTCCAAAACAAGGAAAGCAGAGACGTTGGCTTGCCATGGGGCTTGCCAGAGAGGTGCTTCCGAGGCGACTTCAGCGAGGACAAGCGACATGGGCCGAGCTCTGTCGTCCTTGGGCAAGTGGGTGCCGCGCACCCGGCAGCAGGAGCCCTGCAGCGCCGGCCCGCGCTCCCCAAA